TTCCAGAGCTACAGCAGAGGAAGGAGCCTTTCCTTACTCATCCATGGATGAAAGCAGTAGGCAAAACACCAAGCAATTCACACACAGGAGCCATTTCCTATAGAAGCAAGTAGATTATAAAAAGACACAAGTGTTGTCCTGCTAGTGCTAGACAAATCCATATGCATGTATATCACATTCTAAAAACCAGCAGGAACACCAGCCATTGAGCTGCTTTGCCCTTATCTGTGTATACTTTTGTGGACACTGGAAAATGCTGCACAGGAATACTGATAAGGTGGCGGATGTTTCTACAGATAGAAGTTTCCTCAAGCCAAGCAGCCATGCTCAGAATGTGACTCCTGCCATGGACAGGTCATTTTTCTGAAATCTGAAGAATGAAGGAATTTAATTTTTTTTTAAGTCTCCTTAGAATTCTTATGTGTGACAGGGTCAAAAGCTTGAGTTTTACCTCAAAATCAAGTATTTTAGTGAGGAAGTAAGAAGAGCAATACTAAATAGCTGGTGGCCATCATCTGCCTGCCAATGGGAAGAAGTAAATGAGTTCCTTGATTGGCTTTGCTTGTGCATGCAGCTTTTGCTTTACCTATTTAATGATCTTTATCTAAACCCACAAGTATTCTCACTTTTACTCTTCTGATTCTCTCTCCCATCCCACCAACAGGGAGTGAGTCAGCAGCTCTGTCGTGCTTAGCTGCCAGCTGGGGTTAAAGCATGACAAATAGTCCTTCCCCTTCTGAGAGGGGTTCAAATGCTGACAAGGCTCCTAAATGAGAGCACCACAGCTGATAGACCCCTTTCCTTTGACTCTATCCAACACTGACCCAGTGTGACATTTATTATAAATCCAGGACTAAAAGTAACACAAAATCTTGCACGTCAGGACTAGAGGATCTAGGCAAGCATACGAGGATCCTAACCAGGCCCTCGTGTAACAAGCATGTCTGAAAGCAGCACTGTTCTGCTCAAGTTTTCATGTGCAGCCATCTCCCTTGAACAAACACAGGCAAGCTTGTAGCTCCAGCAACACAAAAACTCTCTCTAACAAAACCCACATTTGGGATAGCTGGGATTCCAGTGGTAATTTTAATAGTATGTGCTGCATTTCCCCTCCCCACAATGCTGCCGGAGGGTCCCTAGGTGAATTTGTTACATCTGAATTGTAGTTTCAAGAGCTAGTCAAAGACATGTATGAGCTGGTTGGACAGGCCAGTCATGCACATTTGTAACTCCTCATGCGAGCTCAGATAGAGATGCTTTTCCAATAAACAGGAAAAAGGCTCAAATAGCAAGGCGCCTCTCTAACTTGCATTTGGCCAAAACACACTTGTATCTCCACTGCAAGATGTTTCCCCCACCTCTCCACCGACACTTCAAATATAAACAGGGACGTTAGCGAAGCCAAGTGTTAAATCCCTCAGAGGACTCTTATCATCCTTTTGCTGTGTCAGTAATGCTCAGCGTTGCACTTAGTATGAGCAGCATTATGGATTTTAAATCAAGCCTAATCAAAGATTCATTAACAGGCAATACATTAACACAACATATAAGTACCAGCCACTCAGTGCCCTTTAGCAGCTCCGCATCTCCTGAACAGCCTGCGAGCATCATCAGGTCAAAACATTTCTCCAGGGTTTAATAAGACAGGTCAAAAGAGCAAAAAAAGAGTAATTCTTCTGAGCACAAGAATATATGTAGCCAACTTCAACGTATCTGTCCAAGTCATGCCATGCATGAATATCCACTGCTTTCACAGGTGATTACTGTGCAGAACTCATTTTAAAAGACTAAAAAAAAAGAGGCAGGTTCTTTCACAGGTGATTACTGTGCAGAACTTATTTTAAAAGACTAATAAAAAAGAGGCAGGTCGATCAACTTAAAAACAGATCACAGGACAATTTCTGTGCAGAACTTTTTTTTTTTTAAAAGTGGTAGGCTGAGTAACTTAAAACACAATTCCCCATTGTGTCACCTCTGTAAAAGCAGCAGGCATCAATACTTCCTACATCGTTCAAACACGGACATGCCTGTGGCTACACCAAGACAGCATAGTCTCAAAATCCTAGAAGCCTCTACTGAATTCAGCCCTGCAACATTTTCTATCAGGTAAAGCACCACTTCTACTTTAATTTTGCAGATGTAGACCTGAGGCACAGCAAGAACAAAAGCACAGAGTTTAGAAGCATTTACAAGCCTTTTTTTCCCAGTTAATGGGAACTGGAGACAGTCAGCAGTCCCACTTAGAGCAACTCATGCAAAGCTACATACAGGAAGTCCAGAACAGCCTCACAGAACTCAGATGCCACAAGGTTACTCTTCCTGCTTATCAGACAGTACATCAAGTCACAAAAACACGGGTGTCTTTTTCTGAACTTCCTTCAAAGAAATATACCTTCCACTCAAACATTCCCCTTGCTTTTCCAGATTATTCTGGGAAGAAAAATCAACAGTGGGATTGTATGGACTGCAAAGTAATGCTACAGGAAGCTGGCAGTCAGCATCTTGTGCTGTAAATAGTGTAATGATACATCTATGTTCCCTTTAAAGATGTCGAAAAGATGAAGAAAATCATACTAGCAAAACAGGATAAATATAACTCCATTGTCTGGTTAAAAAAAACACCCACACATACCTTTCTTCTAATGAAATATCTTGCAATAGCAGGATACCACAAACTAGGAATGGGTAGCAGGAGGGACCCAAAGCAGGTAATAACAGCCAAAAGAGCAAATCTTCAAAGGCCAGCTCAGCATGGCTCTCCCAGAAGCCCACACTTTCAGCAGCATTCATGGAATTTGGAAGTCTTTGAAGCAGAATGATCCCAATTCTAAACTCCTTCCAAACTCTGGATTTACGCTATAAGGCAGTTTGGCAAAGCTTTCTTTGCTTGTCCAGAGTGCAGAGATTTTCTTCTAACCACAACTGTTGGATGTTATGGGGATTTTTTATACCTTTCCTCTAGAAAAGTCTTAAGTCCATTTACAATGCACTTATCCACATGTATATAAATTAAGCCTTGCTTACATCATCCAGCTGCATTTGTCCCCAAAAATTTAAGCACATCAAAAGTAATGAAAATCTTTACAGATTAAAAATTATGCAGTGGCATGATACCACAAACTAGCTTCAACCCAGTAAGATTTTGGATGCAAAGTGAAAAGGAAACATTCATGAAAGCATACTGTTGATGATATTTCAACTTAATTCCACCAAAGACTGCTTACAGTAAGTCTTACAGACAGAACTGCAGTAAACATTTAATGACACCGAGGTAGAAATCATATAATCACTCTCTGCACTATTTGACACCTAGAATATATTAGACTAAGTAAAGTAAGCAACAATGTAAGATCAAGCTACTGTGGAAATACTGTTCCTTTATTTACAGTGGTATATCCATGAGCCTTTTGGCCTTTACAGTTCAGCATGTGTCATGCATACAGTAGCTACAAATCTGCAGGCTTGACAAACGTCTGAACACATGAATAATTTTAATCAAGCCGTAAAATCCCATCTTAAAGTCACTGGGACTTATTTCATGAGTATGCCTTTGCATTATTATTACTATTCCATCTGCTTCATATGTCCTCAGTACAAGGTTATAACAAAATTAATGAAATCCAGGCAACTATCCATAGCACCATCTTTCAATTTCAGTACCTCAGCATGAAACAAGGAGACTGAAAAATATATATAACGATTATTTTTTCAATATATCTATCTAAATAGTCCTGAAGTCCATTTAATTGGCACTGTTGCAGACTAGCATACTGATTTTTAAAGTTCACTCATAAAATTTAAATCAAGCTAGTGACACTGAACAGTTTTCAAAGCTAAAATGTAGTTTAATTTTGCATAACAAATAGTTCCCCATTCCACTAAGCTTATTTGCCAATAAATTCATGATCTACATGCCACAAATGAGAGAAAATGCAAACAAGTAGAGAGAACAAAAAAGACACAAGACAAGGCTGCTTTGTTTTATGAACCTCATAAACCTATTTTCTGTTCAGTGCACTCAGTGGATACTCCAATATTTTCAAATACTACCAGGAACCATCCCATGCTCCAGGTACGCATCTCATGGAAACACACAAATAAAAAAAACCAAACAAACAACATAGACTGTGACATTTTGAAGGTACAGACAGAAACCTACAGATGTACTTTTACAGTATGTTCATCGCTGCAACCTCAGCGAGTTTTGACACAGTATTCAAAATGTTGTAATGATATCAAAATTATTTAGGATATGAAGTAGCATTTTATGCCAGTTTTTCTTTAGCAGCGTATTCATCTTACACTCCTACACTGGGAGTGTAAACACAGGGTTTGTCTTCTGTGTTTTGCAAACATAACAAAATGTAGACATACAAGTAGGCCAGTTTGTTTTGTTTCATTATTAGATCAATAATGTCAAGCCTTCCAGAATAACTACCATGTAGCTGAAGCTCAAATTTGGGGATTTAGAAAAAACTTATTCAGAACTTTCTATTAGATTTTTTAAGCACCCAAGAAAACCTCTTTTTACAACTAGGGCATCTTTTCCTCCAACCTACATTCATTACCTTATTTGCTCAGAAAGTAATGACAAAAAGGCAAAACTAACAAGCTTCAAAAAAAACCCCAAACAGTCACCAAAGAGAAGATTCTAGTAGATAGTTGTGTGGCAAAAACCTCTTAACCAAATGAACTTTTCCTTGTCTATAATCAGAAGAACACAAACTCAGAACAGTGACTTGTAAAAATAAAACTTGTCTAAGCTTAGTTTCAAAACCTAAAAATAAGGTCTGGCAGGTCCACACAGGGTGTTCACACTGTCAGCATACCTCTACCTTCTCCCTTTCTGCTCCAGCTGTCAGCTCAATTCATACCTTTAAAAAAATTATCACCAGACTCTTACTGCCAAATTAGCATTCAGGAGACAACCTACTCAAAAATACTGTTTTGTTGTTCACAAAATCCAACAGACACAAAAGGAAAATGGATGAATGCTGTACCTCCAGCTCTGTCTCTCTGCGATTGATATCATCTGTAGATTGATTCAGTTTTTCTAGCTCCCCCTAGAAAGAAAGAGAAGTCAGAGGCATATTAAGAAATCAGGAAAAAATGTGTCTGAGAAGGCTCATTCAGCATCCACACTGAAAGATCACAAGGGCCGTGGCTTACAAATGCAATGAGAAGAGGAGATACTGAGATGTTTAGGTTAACTTTGCCACCGGTCTTCTACTTTGCTACTTACAAGAAAAATACTCAGAAAAGCTCTATAGTTTTATGTTAAGGCAATACATTTCCTGTTCTGGCTAATTCCTTCCTATTACAAATAAACATAAGGTACAGTAAGGTCTGTCTTGTTAATCAATATAGTCAGTGTCTGCAAGGTGGTAGGCAGACAGACACACCCATCCCAAAAGGATTAGTATAACGTTAGTACTATCAGAGGAAACATAGTGAAAGCACAGAATTGACAAGAAACATGGCTTGCAGCACGAGAGGCATTTTACTCTGGATTTTGGCAAACCATTTCATAACACAAGCAGTCAATGGGACATACGATTATGTTTACATAGTCTGCCTTCTTGCCAACATTTTGATCTCTTAACCACAAAAACAAAGGTGCTAAATCTCTTGAAGAAATATTTACTAGAGGTGGTGTTGGCATGAATGAATTTACTGTAAAAATAAAGCTCATTCTTAATTACTTTCTTGCTACAAAAAACAACCTTTGGGAACAGACTATGATAGCTTTCTTTATTTGAACAACATGTTACTCTATGCAAGATTCTACAATTTCAACAGGAGTGTTCTCCAATTCAAACGTTATTTAATCGTCAACCAGTGTAACAGAGTCTGCCTTGAAGTGTTTAGCTGTATAAACTGAACACTGCAAATTGATTGTCACTTGAGCAATTTCCCACTAGATTACAAGAACGACTCCTGTTACAACCAGAAAGGAATTAATTGCAACAGTTTAGCTCTCTTATCCTCAGAGGTCAGATTTCATTTCCCACTCCTAGGATTTGGAAGATACCTGTTTGCATATCCATGTTGTCCAAAACAGACACTCATACAGAAATTATCTAGTTGTCTCTTACTGTAAGGCTAAAAACCTTACAGCTCTCACAGAGGCAGACACAGCAGCCTGTTTTTTCAGCCAAACAGAAAACTTAACAAAAACACTGTTTTGTCAACAATGTGCAAATCATGTATGTGGAAACATGTTGCAAGCTGAAAAACAAAGGCCAAATTTAGATCAATAGAAAGTAACCCAGCTTGGCTTCTCAAAATCAGGGCAGTAACAGGCTAGATTTTGGCTGAGGGCCTCTCTCTGTGTAACCATGTTTTGTGAATTTTGCAATTGCTCGGCTCGGCCCTGGAAAAGAAATGCTCACAGTGGAGAAAAGAATGGCAATTACAGCAAGCGGGGACATATGCCAAGGATTCTCTCAGCTATGTACACACATGTTATATTCACTCATGACAAACAGTCCCAGTGATGCTGGGGGCAAAAAGCCATAAATCTGCAGAGACCTAAAAATACATTTCATTTCAGGGACCACAGCATGCCTGAAGTTTGCATCAGGCTATTGGTCAAGATATGATTTTGAGGGAGATAAGCTTTGTCTTGAAACCTTGCAAGAATAAAAAAAAAAAAAAAAAAAAGCCTTGCAGAAGGCATTCATGGAGAGGAAACACCACATCCCACTAAAGCTCCTTTTTGAAAGAAATAAAAAGGAATGAAGATTTCTTTTTTTTTTAAGCAGCGTTTTCCCCCATTTGCGAATTTCTGAGCTGCAGCCCTGTTCCGCGAGGAAGGTCACGCTGTCACGG